GGAATTCTGGGAGTTGAAGTCCACTCATCTTAAAGTGGCCAAGTTTGGACAACACTATCCTCTGCCATTTGTGCTAAAAGAAATTGATCGTTCAGCCAATGGCTCTCTGGCCAGGAGCACAGAGGCAGCTGTGACTCAAACTGCGATGCCCACTGCAAAACCAGTGGCAAGAATTTCCTCCGCTTCTCACCTCTCTCCTTCTTCCCCAGTTCTGTTTTAATATCTAAACCCTTCCCATATGGAACACCCACTCCTCCGAGGGCAGATACTTAAAAGCCCAGGATATATTCTGAACAGCTTTACTCTGTTAACTGTGTCCCTGTGGAAGGAACAAGATCTTTTCCTTCCTGCCTCTGCATCATTAAAGGCATTTATAAACAGTCGAGAGGAAATCTGACTACGCTTTTCACAGCGTGCAGCCTAATATTTCTGATATAGCCCTTTCCACGAGCAAGTCAAACTCTCCTAATGGGACAGTTTGATGTTAAAGTGCGTTTCCTATCATCCTAAATCAACGTCACCTTGAATCAGGCTTTTATTGTTCAACTTTCTCAGCCGGAATTCTTTCCTATCAGAGAACAAATGATGAGTACCTTTTACATTGCAGCGTGGCCTGCATCTATTTTCAGTTTCTCAAGAAGAAGCAGTAATAACAAGAGTAATTGCAGTAGGTTTCAGCTTCCTCTTGCCTCTTTGCAAGCTCAGAGCCGTTTATGTTTCGCTGGTTTTTGCAATCCTGTGCAATATGTGCCCATTGAAAAGGAGAGCTGTCCTGCAGCCCCTAGCCTGAAGACACAGCCAGAGCAAAGAAAGTGGGGTTCTCACTCTGGTATCTCACAGCTCGCCGGAAAAAGAGGGAGGGGAGAGAAAAAGCCCCCCCACCCGAACTCAGTACTTGTTGATTCCAAAGATACGGACGCCATGCAGCTGGGGCAACTTGGGGATCAAGACGCTCATCAAAGAGATGGTGTTGATGATGAAATGTACCCGGTCGTATTTTGTGTAGAAACTGGTAAGGAAATAACTGTAAAGGAAAGGAGAGGAGTTTCAGTTTTAAAATACTGCTTAAAATAAAAATATTTATCCTTTGTCCTATGCAACTGGATCTCAGGGATGGGATACAGGCAACCACCAAAACAAACCAGCATTAATATCACAATGATAGCAAAGGGAAAAAAATGTCTAGGTCTGTAATCTGATAGATGGTGGCAAGCAAATCTGGAGTCTGGTAGCACCTTTTCCAACTAACACATTTTATTAAATGGCATGAGGTTTGGTGAGCTGCATCTGATGAAGAGAGCTGCAGCTCAGCAAACCTTATGCCTTTCAATAAAATTTGTCGATCTGATATAAGGACTCTGCTATTTTATTTATTAATTAAATACAGATAGTCCTCGTTTAGCGACTGCCTCATACAGTGACCATGTGCAGTTACAATGGTGATGAAAAAGTAACTTTGCAACCAATCCTCACATTTATGACTTTTGCAGATCTGTAAAGGAAAGCTGAAGTAAGATCATAAGCACAGTCATGCTTTCACTTAGTGACTGCTTCACTTAATGACCAAGTTGCCAGTCCCAATTGTGGTCACTAAATGAGGACCACCTGTATTTGAATACCACTCAATGGTTTTTATAAACTCCAAGCGACATAGCAAGAATGCCACAGCACTATAAAGCACTCCAATAAAAAGACCATATAAAGATGATCTCTCAGAGTTATATGCAGTTACAGGCCTATCCTGTTCACTTGCTTGTATCTCAGTAGAGAAGAACTGGGCTGATGGTCACCCTTACTGAAGCGGTAGAGAAAAGAGCCAACCCACATGGTTATTGATTCCATGTGGCCCCTGGCCAACCCTTTCCACTAGAAAGGATTGAAGGAAGACAGCAAAGCAAAGTGTGCAAAGGGGCTGCCACTTGTTTGGTAGTGGCTTCATCAATCCCCTCTGTTTTACAACCCCAACCTTCCATTTTCATCTCAGGACAGAAATTGGGGCAAGAGAAAAGTAGGAATTCTGAAGATTTGGAAAGAAATAACGTACAAAATTGGCTATCAAAAGATGGGGCGACGATGGTTACTTGAGACAGCTGTTAAAAACGGCTAGATAAACCTGAGGAGAAGTTGGTAAGTGCTGTTGATGAACTCAGGGAAGAGGGACGTTGTCCCCATGACCTGCCATGGGTTTTTGCAATGGCATCTGGTTGGGCAGTACACAAAGCAATGATGATTTCCACATCCCTCTATGCTTTCATATGGTCTGTTTGCCAATAGCTTCTGGCTTAATGTCTTGTGCAAACTAGCTAACTATGATTTACTCAATAAAGCATATTTAAGCAAACAAGCACGAGTGGATTATGTGACCTGTGTGTTGCTTCAATTAGGAAACACAATGCTAGATAGACAAGCTTTGATCTAGTCCAACAGGATACTTTTGTTCTTAGGCTCGGTGATTTAAATGAAGGCTGTAAGCCAGGAGTCGAGAATTGTGACCCCATCCCACCCTACCCCGGCATCTGCTGATCTACAACTCTTGGCAACTTTCATCAGCAAGGCCAGTAGGGAGAGAGGCTGGAAGATGTAGTTCAACAATGTCTGGAAGGTACTCTATACCTGCCATAAACTTATCTCATTCTTGACATTCTTCCATGTAACTAGGCTTGAATTCCCCCATTTCAGTGCAAATTGTGGCACTCCCTGTACGCTGAAGTTGGAAAACAGCAACAGCAGAAGGCTCACAGCTAGGTTCTCTTTGGTACTCACAGTACAATTGGTGTGATAGTCAGGAACTTGCGAGAAGCTGTGAACTGCACTCCATAATCCATCTGTTCCCAATGAGTGAGCAGCCGGGCCTTACCCTGATCGGGAGTCTCAAATGGCGTTCCTTTCACAGTGTGTAAGAAGATATACATGCTCTGTAAGGAAACATAAATGCCTGGTAGTTAGTAGGGCTTTTGAGCTTGCTTGGCTGCATACTTTCGTTCAGGTAGCCGTTTAAGTGGTGGGAAAGGTGAGAACACCCTACAGTATTCTTGCAACAGAACTGACACGATAAGAAAAGGTGCTGAGGTGCAGCACAAAACCACTGTTTCAGTGAGAGTCAGGGTAAGGCAACCGAAAAGAGGGTAGGAGGCTTAATTTCACCTCAGGTTCCTAAGTGATCATTGACATAATGAGAGGCTGTGATTGTTTTTCTTGGTGTTTGTCCCCCATAGTTCCAGGGTCTGTTTATCTATCACCTACTCTTTAGAGCAGTGGCTGGGGAATTCTGGGAGTTGAAGTCCACCCATCTTAAAATGGCCAAGGTTCAGAAACACTGTTTTAGAGTGAAACTATCAATATATAATGCAACAAGGGTTTTTTGTTTACTAACCAGCTTGTTACAAGATTGTCTGATTAGGCTGAGAGGGTGTAACTGGCCCAAGTTCACACAGCTGGCTTCTGGGCGTACAGGAGAACTAGAACCAGGTTTCCCTGTTCCTGGTCCATAATCTTAACCATTACACCATGCTGACTCTCAATCTAATGAGGGGTGTGTCCCCAAAATACCTTAATGAGCAAGCAAGAACACCTAACTTCTAGCAGACAACATGTTTTCTTAGAGCAAATCAATAGCAAATGAATAATCAAACATGCAAGAAGAAATTTGTCCCTTCTTCACATCCATGCAAGTAATAACTGAGAAGTTTGGTACCATAATCCTCCCAGCTTTGTTCTGACTTATTTCATTGGTCTGCAGCCATGAGACACGAGCTGTGCCAAAGACTTTTTCAGCATTGTCATACATCAGAGCCTGCTGTGGAGCTAAACTGCAGAGGATGAAATATAAATGAACAGGAGAGCTAGATCTGGGGTACAAAAATTGATGTACGTAGGCCAAGAAGGATAGAAGCAAGAATTGGTCTCCAAGAGGCTTAAGAGGATGCAGTGACAGAGATATTTAATAGGCTGGAAAATGGTATAATGAAAATTGACCCCTGGGGTGATTAAGGTCTCACCTCCCCTAGGCTAGTGTTGATGCTGGGGAATATGTATCTCTCCAGTTACAGGGATTTTATTTTTGGGGCCTTCAAGTTAGTGTTGACCCTTGGCAACTCCCTGGACTACTAGTCCATGCAGTTTTCTTGACAAAATCTTTACAAGGGGTTTGCCACTGCTTTCTTCTTAGGGCTGAGAGAGAGAGATTGGCCCAAAGTTACCCAGTTAGCTTTGTTTCTAAGGGAGGACTAAAAGTCTCCCAGTTTCTAGCCTGGTGCCCTAACCACTTCACCAAATTTGCTCTGTCAGTTACAGTAGAGACGTTAAATTAGCTGTGAGAAGTCTTATTAACTAGAGGCTTTATCACAGGATTGGTGTAAAGATTACCAAAACAGTGTAGCTGGCAGAACTGCAGGACAGTCTCCTCAATTATGGCCCCTACCGGAAGGCGTTCCAGAGATTTAATTGGCCCCTTCCTTAATCTGAGTTCTAATTTCAACAGAGAATATGTTTCAACACGTTTCTAGCTTTCTATTGTTTTTAATCTTTTGCTGCCTATTTGTGTTTAATATAGAGTGCTTTTTAAAAAAACATTATTCTGACTTACTTGGGTGTCTATCCGAAATCAGAAGGGTTTTTTAAAAAATAAAGGGATAGAAAATGAAATATTTTAAATGCTCTAAAAGTACAGCACATTAATTTTTTTAAAATGTTTAATCTATTATAAACTATGAATCTGGGAAATAAAAGCTGCCATGTGCTGCTAGAGTCCACACAGAGCAGTTCTTGAATCAGAAATATTATCTGTTCCACCATCCCTAAAAATGTAGTAGAGATAGAGAAAAAGCTCAGAGGAAAATAAAAACATATTGGAGTATATTAAAATAAGGGCAACCTTATCTGAATTTGAACTGATCCAAATTTCACTTCCCAAACCAGAATGCACTGTATCGATCATGTTAATCTCAGAATAATTTTACTGACTTTTTTCAGTCCCTACAGTGCTGTAGATTTATAGATTAAAGTTATAGTTTAGAATAGTATCTTGTTGATTTTAGAAACTATCTTGTAATGGCTTCAGTTTCATTATGCTTTAGTCTTATAGACTGTAGCTTTAATATTAAAAGTATTAAGTCCTTGAGAATTCCTCTGTTCTTAGAGATACACTTTAGTGCTGTAATGTACTATTCTGCTACTTTCACCTGAGATGTTTTTTTGGGCCAGGATTGCGGCTTTTTATTTTTTATTTGTCTCTTTCATTTTGTGTTGACCATTGACTAAATATTGTTTGAGCATGAATGCTGATCACTGAATTTTAGAATGCAGAATCCAAAATATGCACACAAAACATTCTATTAGGAACATGTGTGCACATGAAAGTATGTTTTAGGGAGAAGAACATACACAAAAATGGATACATTAGAGAAAATGAAATATAAAAACATGACATGAATTTCTGTTCAGATTTTTCTTTTTAATCATAATTGGATGAGGAAATAGTGTGGATCGCAAATTGTAATTAAGATCATGCGAGACAGAGAAAAAGAACATGCAAGAATTTAACAGGGTTATGTGGGAGAATAAGGACTAACAAACCAATAATTACTTAAGCACAGCTAATTTTCTATCACCTGAGCTTTGCCTCTTGGTCAGCAGTTCTGCGATTTTTGTATTTTTTAATTAAAGGTTCTGCAGCTTGAGAAAATCTGAAAACTCCTGCTCTAGATCCTATAAATCAGATGATCAGACTGCAGCTTGAGAAAATCTGAAAACTCCTGCTCTAGATCCTATAAATCAGATGATCAGACTAATTTTCTATCACCTGAGCTTTGCCTCTTGGTCAGCAGTTCTGCGATTTTTGTATTTTTTAATTAAAGGTTCTGCAGCTTGAGAAAATCTGAAAACTCCTGCTCTAGATCCTATAAATCAGATGATCAGACAAACAATGTGATATTGAGCAGCAAGCTGACATGGAAAGGTTTCTTCAAACACTGTGCTTCCAGGGTTCACTGTTGTCACTTCTGTTAATAACAGGTAGTCCTTGTTTAGTGACTGCCTTATTTAGCAACTGTTCACGGTTACGACGGTGATGAAACGATAACTTTGCAACCCCATTTATGACCTTCACAGGTCTGTGAAGCAAAGCCAAAGTAAGATCATGTGGTTGCTAAATGAGGACTACCTGAAACACTAAGAAATTCAGAAGCTGTGAGGCTTACAAATGTACCTCAGAATTCATGTAATAGATCCCTGCCTTTCTATGTCTTTCTAGGCAGAGGTGTCAGGAGATTTTTCTCTCGGTGCAAAACAGTCATATATGCTTGAGCAGATGTAGCTGTTCTAGCAATAAAGCTGCCCCTTCATGAGCGGGAGATTTTGGTATAATCTTCAGATCGTATGACAGTGAGATGGATTCCCCCCCTTACAGTCCACTCCATTGGGAAATACTCTTAGGAATGCCTTACAGAAACAAGTGAGATCTGTATTAAGATACATCCAGAGTCTTCCACAGCTTCAGGAAACTCTTGCAGAAAAGGTCTGTATATCAACCTTTCTCAACTGGGGTTCCATGGAATCCTGGGGTTCTGTGAAAGATCATGATTGAAAAAAAATAAACATTGTTTTTTGAATTTGTGTGCTGTACATTGCTAGGGCTTGCAAGCACTGTGAATTTTTACGGGCTGTGAGTTAGCTGCTGGACTGCTGCTTTGCTGTTGTAAACCTTATAAAATGTGGATTGTGTAGGTTAGATATGAATTGCATTGTGAAGTTTTTGTATTTTTTTGCAAATTTTTATGCAGGGGTTCCCTGAGATCTGAAAATTCTTTCAAGGGTAAAAAGACTGAGAATAGCTGCTGTAGATTATGTTATATCTTAGTGGAAACAGGAGAGCCTAAGTTAAATTTTCCAACTTTAATAACAGACTGTCTTGAGCCATCTGGAGTGGAAAGCCCCAACTGGCAGTGGATTCCTGTATTATATGGCAAAATGGGTTTTACCCCACCTTTCTGGCCTTTGTTTATGGGCTGTGGCCCTCAATGTTCCACCCAAAGCCTATCACTCGTACAGCCCTGAAGACCATTTGAGCAGCTAACGATGGACTGAAAGGAATGGTCAGGTAGGAGAAGAACAGAAGCAGGTCACAGAATTCTACAAAATCCAAGAGTGAAGTTACACAGACCACAACCAGAGTCTATTTCAATATTCCTGCCCATCCTAAGCAGATCACATTTCTCTGTCAGGAATGTGCAAAGTTTGTTCCTGCTGAGCACTGCACTTGACCTTTGGCTGATGTGCAGAAGAATACGCTCAAAATAATGAGTGAACTCGGGACAACAACTCAACTGGCTTTAATGGAAGCTAAATGCAGATAAATAAAATTGATTATGGCTAGTATTATCCCCCTTCTCCCCAATTTAATAATTTCTCCCTTCTATCACAGTAAAAATTGCATTTCAGCACCAACTAATCACATCCAAAGCTTAGGGGGATGAGCATATGCTATTAAAAAAGTCTGACTTCTTGAGCTAAGCCTCATATAATGCAATCAAACATGAAATCTATTCAGAGAGAAGAAACCCCAATGGGATTGTTGTCACTCTCAGTTGTTATATTACTATAATGAAGTAATAATTACAGGCGAGTAGCTGAGGCCACCAGTTGGAGAACTGATTTCTCTCCATGGGTCAAGCTCAGAGTGATGTATCACCAGGAATCTGGCCACCCAGTCTGCAGCTGAGGTAGCGTCTGGCTATTTGACGCTGCAGGGAAAAGTGAACTGAGGGGATTGGTGCTCTGAGATATGAACCAGCTTAAATGACTACCTGATGTGCTCATATCACTGAAACAGGGGGGGGAAAGCCATTTCTCTGAAACTGGCCAGCCACAGTTACAGTTCTTAATGTATTACTTTCTATTACATTTCTCTTTGTGTTTTCCATGCAGTTCATCTGCATGCTATGCTCAGTTTATTTATGACTTTCCCCTATTCTTATAACTGGGGTGTTCTTTTGAGCACGATTCTACAGATAGTCCTCACTTAATGATTGCCCCGTTTAGCAACCATTCAAAGTTATGATGGCACTGAAAAAGTAACTTTACATCCAGTCCTTGCACTTAAGACCATCGTGTCCCTGTGGTCACATGATTGAGATTCAGATGCTTTGCAACTGGTGGGCATTTATGATCATCAGAGTGTCCTGCGGTCATGTGATCGCCATTTGCATGCTTCACAGCTGGCTTCCAACAAACAGAGTCAATGGAGAAGCCAACAGTAAAATTGCAAGATGCGGTCATGTGATGTCTTGCTTAACAACCATGTCTCTTAGTGACAGAGTTGCTGGTCCCAATTGTGGTTGTTAAGCGAGGACTACCTGTAATTTAAAATGTGCATAAATCCAGGAAGAGGGCTGGCAGTGTGAATGTATGTATATAGGTCAGATTAGACACACACCCTGGCTTAATATTTTATTGCAGGGCAAATTAGCATTGTACCAATCTAACTCTATTCATCCCTTCTACACTAGGCTTAGTGAATCTATCATGATGGTTATAGTTTTCAAACCAGGAATAGGCAGCCTGGTTCCTCCTAGATGTTTTAGACATCAGTTCTTCTGAACCAACTCAGCCAAAGGCAAGGGAGTGTAGGACTCTAATCCAAAATACCTGCAAATCTCCAAGCTTCCTAACTCTCCTTTAAACCACTGTTTCCTACTATATCTAACCTGGGAACTGTGGATTAATCTTGGTTATTCGCCAGCACATCAAACTTGATTTTGCATATTAATTAAAACTAAACCAGGGGGTTTTGTGTCTGTAAAGGGAAATGGTAGTTTAAACTAAGCATGATAGAAAGTGCGAAGGGAAGGAGATGCCACTTTGACACAGTACTGGGTTTTGACTTAGTAAACCAAGATATTTACATGTGAATATTCTGCTCCAGATATCTTACTCAGCTTATTCCACTGCTACATACCTGCTACCCTTGTCCCAAATAACGTGATGGACTTTTTGGCCACATAAGTGCCCACTGTCATCAGATAATCCTAAATTAGATTGCCATTTGGGGAGCACTGAAGGAAAATAGGTGCAGGTGCATCAAAATAGGACCCCGAATCAGCAATTTTTAGCTGAGATGTATGGTTTGTCTCCAAGAGAGTTGACCCAGAAATCTATGGAGGATGATGAGGAAGCACTCAGATCCAGGAAATGGATTCCAGGCAGAAAATATCATACCCACTGGCTGCAGGGCAATGCATCAACTGCACCTGAATCTCCTGTAGCAACCACTGGTGCAGCTGTCCCCAACTCCTTCCCATTTGCTTAGAGAGCACAAAGAGGGAGCACTGCATTGGCCCCTTCCACTGCCTGTTGCAGACGCACCAGTCTGCAAGGCCAAAGAGTACCTTCATACCATGTTGTGAATGAGGTTGGTTAGAGTCCAGACTACAGGGACACTGAAGAAAGGGATGCTGAGCAAGATCACATGTAGGAGGCCAATTCCCAAGACGTAGGAGAGCCAGATGCCGCGGCTGTTCATGACTCGGGTGTTTGGGTTCACTTCACTGTGAGCCGTGCCCACGTTCATCTCTCCAACTCAGCAGCCCTGGAACAGAGCACAGAACAACGAAGCTGGGTCAAAGACAATATGCAACTTTACCAAGGCCAAGGCAGCTTGTTTTCTTCCACATCAGTTAGGCAACAGCTTGTGCTATCAACCTCAAGATGTAGATTCCCAATTCTCACTGATCTGCAGTTTTATGGATGCCTGATATTTTTCAAAATAGCCTTTGACAGCCGGGATGAGCATAAGCAATCACCAAAGTAAAGACTGGGGAGGCAGCCTTTCCCAGCCTTATGTTGTTTAATTGTGCTGAATCTACAAATCCCATCACTGTTAGTTAGCCATGGAACTGTAGTTCAACACTTAGACATTAACCGTGCCTAGAGATGCCTATTATTTCATTAAAACAACAACAATCCTCAGACACTTACTCCCTTGATCCAAGGAAGAAACTGAAAACATTTGAAATCTATATGCACTTCCACTTGGGGTCTTTGCATCAATTCAGGACCAGCTGTAAACATCAGCATTTCTCCCCCACCCCCTTTCCAATCCATGCTGATTTATTTGAAACAGATGCAAAGCTGAGATTTCTTTTGCAAAGCTTTTGGGGAGTTAATTTTCTTGCCTCCCCCTGCTTCCTGGCTCTCAGCTTCAGCATCCTGTTCCTGGTACCTGTCTGGAAACAGTCAGAATGGTTCTTCCTCTCCACCTATTGTAGGGGCATCAGCCAGGATGAGAGGTAGTAGACCCTGACCGCAAACACTAACATTACCATTTCATCATCACAGCTTACAGAGGTCTTTTAAATGTAAGAGGAAAGATGGCATTGCAGGTAGAAAGCATTTCTGCAGAAGAACCATTCTTTTCTTTTTTTCCCCCTAATAGCCAAACAAATGCAAACAATGCTAACTAAAACCTGGAGGAAGAGAGTGGGGTGGCTAGTGATTTATTTTCCTTTCATGTATGGTGGGGTGAGGAATTTTCATGGCTCCAGGATCTGCAATTGCTCAGTGGGTGAGGCTATGATGGGGAGACATTTTTTGCTCTCCTGTTAGTAAGCTGGAAGAGAGCACTGATTGCCTCATGGAATTCCTTGCAAGTTCACAGTGATTCATGGGCATCATGTGTGATGGCTTTATTTATTTCTATATGCCATTTCTAAGGCTGCCCACTCACTGAACAATTTTTGGGTTGCTTTGATGAATATAGGATGGCTTTAAACTGCTTTGTTAGCACCTGGGGAGTGGAAATGGTGTGGTGTGGAAGTGCTCTGAGAAATCTGAGGAGATTGTATATGATTTCCATACCTAGAGGGTAAAGAAGTTCAGTGATCCTGTCTTTGATGATCCTGGGGGCATGGATACATAGAAGAAGCAGCAGCCAAGATCATGAAGTAGATATCAGAATGTATCTTTTCTAGATGTGCAGTGAGACCATTGCAAAAATCAAGATTAAGCAAAGCTGGACACAATCAAACAGGTTTAGAATAGCAGCAAAATGGTTTAAATATGTCTGTGGCATGGAAGAGGGTCATTATGAACCAGAAGTAAAGCAAACCTGATCCAAAATATTAAACTAGGATGACCATAATGTAGCTCTCACTGTTAGCCATTTTGACAAGGATTGATGAAAACTGGAGCTCAACAGTAGCTGGAAGGTTATTCTCTGGACATTCCTGATTTGAGTTTTACTGATATCCAAGGGTTGTTCTTGAATCCACTTTCAAGGGCCATCCTGCAGTGGCTTCTTTGGGCTAGCACATGGGAGTGGTACATCAGTTAAAATCCCTATCAAACAGTGCTGCCCCTCATACTTTCTCCATCTCCAACATATGAATATAAGGTAATGTCTGTGTATGTGAAACTCCTGTGCTTCTCACATTAAAAAAATAATTGCTTCAGCAACATTCCCATGTGCATTCTAGAGTATGTTCCTTCATCTGTTTCTCTGTATTCATTAGTTCAACACACGAGCACACTGTGCTTTGCACTGGTTTCCAAAGCAGGCTGTTTGGAGGCTAAAGTGGATGTTGAATTATTAACATCTCATGCCACGCAGGGCCAATGGTGGCTCTGATGTAAGACTGCGAAGTGGGAGATTGCTTTTGCTATCTGTTGCAATCCAAATTGTTGTCCCTTGATTGCAATTTGCAACGCAAGTAAACTCTAGTTGGATGAACGTGAACTGTGCAGAGTCCCAATTCAGAACATGTTAAGAGGCAGGAACAAAACTTTCAAGTCCCCATAACAGGGACTTGTTTCAACCTGGGCCTGATTGTGCCAGTTATTTATTTGGAGAAAGAAAAAGAAAAAAACAACCACGTAAGGACTAAACAGAAACAAGAACAACAACAAGAGAATTGCATCACATCAGGTTTGCCCTACATTAAGCTGAACGCAATAATTTTCTTCCTAAAGTATCTTAGAAAGCATACTCTCACAATGAGATGTGTAGTTATTATTGAAAAATCTATCTATGTGGTTGCTAGGAGTCAAAAACAACTTGATGGCACATAATCAATCAATCAGTGCAAAAGAACTATTTGGATAGATGATTATGGAAGGAACTTAAACTGATACACTAGTGATTTTAGAGTGAAAGCACACCTATCACCCACTGAGGTTTAACTTTTGAGGGCCAGAGACAGTGGTTGATGTGAGTGCTAATTGTCACACAGCCAACAGGTAAACCGCCTGATGCCATATCTGTCCATTACTAAAGCAAGAGACAGATGCTTATGCTACCAGGAGTTGAACCCAGGATCTTTTGTATACAAAGCAGGTGCTCTATTACTGAGCTAGGGTCACTGTGTACTATTCAAATCTTTTTCATTGCAATCCTTACAGTAGCCCTATAAATCGAGATTAACAATGATCTAAGTTAATATGGGATAAAACTGCAGGTTGCAATTTTTTTTTCTTGGCATATGCATTGCATACATTCTCCTCCTATTCTCCTTGGGAGATTCCCATAGCTCCCTTTTCAAAAACAGTTTCTGTTTGCTTCTGTGACTAATGGGTTGCAATCAGATCTTGTGCATCACATGGCTCTTAGATGCTCAATTTTAAATATAGGCTTGGTCCTGGCCTGTTCCAGTCGCCTTCAGCTTTGCTTTTTGCTTCATCCTGGCAGTCAGCTTAGTAAAAGGGGAGGGGGGGTGATACAAGTGAAAACGCTTGCTTCTACAGCTGCTCTGTCCTTCAAGCTTCATGTAACCTCAGATCCCAAACATCTGGTCCATCTAAAAACTGATATCTGCACAGCTGGGATGCGACTCAAGCACATTTTCTGCACCTATTTATAGAACTTTATCTCCTGAGATAACAGTGAGCAAAGTTGGATTTTCCCAGCAAGGGAACATGTTTGATTGCCTATTTAACAACAGGTCACATTTCTCCATTTATGTATCTTTGTTCTGTGAGATTTCAAATCGAGAAATTCATCCAAATGGTAACTTGGATTTTTTTAAAAAAATGTTTTTAAATCAATCTAATTCTTTATGCTTACTTCCAGTTCAGCCTGGCCTAGTGGTTTGTCCCTTCATTTTTACTTAACTGAAAAATAAGTAGTTGATAAAAATGTGTATGGGTTTTTGACTGTGATAAGAATTTTTGTTGATTTGTTAACTGGGAAGAGAAGGGTAAACCCATTCAGAGAGGAAAAGGATCCCTGGAACATGAATTTTTCCAAAGGAAAAAAGTTCTAGAAGTATGCAGCAGTCAATTCTCTCTTTACCTAACTTGAATCATGACTAAATAACCATATATTTATCCAGAGAAACTCCCCTCCACCACATTTGGGAATACTGCCATTGCAGATTTCTCTAACTATTATGGTATAGTCTGTATAATGCTTTGAAACTTCAGAAACAGCAGAGTATTTGTTTAAAAGACTCAAAAGAGAGAAGAAAAAGGCAAGCTATAGAAATTAATCACCTCTTTCATCAAAGAATTTATGAAGTCTTTAGTAGTATACAAGTGGAATTTGTTTTTACTGATAACTGCAACACGATACAAACACACAGGCCAATGCAAAGAAGAAAAATATAAGCTCTACACTTTCCAGGCCCACTTTTGGAGCCTGGTGATTCTGCTGAGAAGAGGAAAAAAAAAAAAAGGAAAATTTCCATTTGCAGCAGGGTGCAAAATCCAGGTTATTGATTCCTTCTGGATATAAGAGAGGGGAATAATTGGATTGAATTCTTGATAAGGTTTTATAGCTTGGCTCCACCATCCCAGCTGACCCAGGTTTTCTGCAAATTATGTGTGGAATTCATAACTTCTCAAACGTTCATCTTTGCTTACCTCTCTGGCAGGGCAGGACAGATATATTAGGGCAGAAGTAGATGGGACGGCAACAGTCCTGTTTAAACAGAAGAAGAGGTAGGGGTGGGAGCAAAGTGATTTTTCAGAGAAACAAAGCATGTACTGTGAAAACCAAAAAAATCTTTTCCCTGCATAGTCTTCCTTCTCAGCCATGCATAGATAACAAAAATGACATCAGCTAGACTAGCTTGCCTTAGGAAGCATCGCTAACAACAAAGCTAGTGGAGATGACAGG